GATTCTCCTGCCTCACCTTGAGCTACCAAAATGCTAGAATTACAGATGTGAGCCACCGCCCTGGCCTTCTTTCTCTTCTAAAAAAGCTTTTCATTTCTTGAGGTCATACTTGTTAGTCATATCACAATCTTGTTAAGTAACAAATATTAATAAAAAGCCAAAACAAAAACATATCTGTGACCAACTTCCTCTATCCAAACCTCCCCTCTGTCCTAGACAAATGTGTATGTCACTGTTGGGAAAGGCAAAGGACCCTTCCCCATCCTGCCTTCTGGGTTTCTGTACCAGCTGTGCACCTGCAGCATCCTTCCCAGTCTTTTTTCCTTTGTACTTTTTTACTTCCAAAACTTTGAGCTTTTCAAAATTTGGAAATTAGCCTCATGACATATCTTTTTCTGCTGAATAATACTGCTTAACTATTATGACTGTTTCCTATTTCCTCACCTACATATGAAGCTCATGGATTCACAGAGGTGGCACCACGGGGGCACAATGTTCTGCCAACTGCTCTGCCAGGCAAATGTACTAACCCCACCCAGTAGGTAGCTGTGTAGTCTTCCTTGTAACCATGCACTTTTCAAAAGAAATGAGAAGTCTACAGCTGTGGCTTAGAGGCCTGTGTGTGAATAACAGCTGCAGGCATGATTTTATAGTTCATGAGCTATACAGCCAAAGGACTTCATCAATTCACACGCCACAGCCCACTAATTGTCTTTGCAAAGGACTAGCCATTTTTCTATTCTAACCACAGGCTTCCAACTCATTAGTTGAAGCTAAGGTAGATACACATATTTCAAGATTTGTAAGTTTCAGAAATATCCACTTTATAGATTCTGATTACATGTGTTCATGGTTATCATGATTGGTATATAAAATATCAATATATAAGTAGCCTCCAATGTATAAAGCCAAATTTTGATATGATCCTAAATATAACAAGCATCTTCCAACAAAAAACCAATCTCTTTCTCTTCTCCTACCCATAAATAGAAGCCAGGGACCCCTGGCCAACAACCTTGAAAAAAATCAGCAGTTGTGAGAAATCCGATCTGCTCAGAGGGAATGATCTTCTTTATGCCTAGGGAGGAGCCCTGTAGCCCCAGAACCTTCCCCCAGGCTGCCCGACACATGTGGTGGCACAAGCACTTGCCTGTAATTCAAAATACTCAGACTCCTTTGGGTTAAAAATGTTTATGTCATAAGGAATAGAAACCTATCAATGTTTTATACAAACATCTTAAATTTGACCACTCTTAGTAAAACACAGCTGTGTTGGAGGCATATGATTGCCAATGCAAGGAGGTGGTGTTAATTTTCAACACAGAATACTTCTGCAGGACAAGACAGGTCTAGGTAGCGTCACTAGGTAGAGTCCTAGGATAAGCAAGAGGGCATGGAATCTGCAAACAGAACAGTATCACAGGATGTCAAAGATAAACTTTACCTCTTTCACAATTTTACCCAGCCCTTCATCCAGAAAAAGTACTCTACTTGGCTCTTGTTCTCACAATTCTGGACATTACTAGTAATACTAAAATAACAGCTGTGTCAAAGACAGTGCACACAGTAGTCACATGTTAGACAAGGAAGCTAGCTACCCCATATATGTTGTTTGTACAGAAAAATCAATCCAAGTTCCAAACAACTATCCTGAAAATGAGTATAGTAGAAATCACTTATTTAGAAGTTTCCTAGGAGCACTATGCTGAACAATGTTCTGAGCATCATCTTATTTCATAGTCACAACAATTCTATGATATTTGTGTACTATTCTTATTCCTATTTTACAGATAAAGAAAGCAAAATATAACAGGTTAAGTGACTTGACTGAAACCATATAGCAAAAATAAATGGCCCACTCCAAAAAAGATATACAAATGACTCAACATCACTAATCACTATGGAAATACAAATAAAAACCAAAATGAGATTTCACTTCATGGCTATTAAGATGGCTACTATTTAAAAAAACAAAACAAAACAAAATAAAAAGTACTGACAGGGAGGTGGAGGAACTGGAACCCTTGTGCACTATTGGTAGAATCGTAAAATGGAGTAGAAAATACTATGGAGACTCCTCAAAAAATTAAAAATAGAACTACCATAAGATTCTGCAGTCCCACTTCTAGGTATATATCCAAAAGAATGGAAAGCTGAGTCTTGAAGAGATATATGCACACCAATGTCTACAGCAACACCATTCACAATAGCCAAGAGGTATAACGTCCGTCGACAGATGAATGAATAAACAAAAGTGGTATATACATACAATGGAACATCACTCAGCCTTAAAAGAAAAGGAAATTTTGACATGCTACAACATGGGTGAACCTTGAGGACATTATGCTAAATGAAATAAGCCAGTAACAAAAAGACAAATACTGTATGATTCCAATTATATGGAATCTAGAGTAGTCAAATTCACAGAGACAGAAAGAAGAATGGTGGTTACCAAGGGCTAGGGTGAAGGGAAAGGGGAAGCTGTTATTTAATGTCATTTAATGAAGATCTTCTTCACAGCAATGTGAGTATATTTAACTCTAGTGAACTGTGCACTTGAAAATGGTTAAAATGGTAACTTTTATGTGTATTTTACAATTAAAATTAAAAAATAACTGCATACAGCCAGCCTCAAAAAGCCACAACTAATTCTAAATTTCATGTTCCACTATGGCTTTTTGTAAATAAATGCAATCATTCATTCAGCTAACATACAAGTGCCTGCTATGCACCAAGCACAAGTACCAGGAATGTATCAGTTAATAAAATAGACACAGGTCCCTGCCCTCACATGGCTTAAGTTCTAGCAACTATAACTGCTTATCTAATAAGGACACCTGAGTCATCCCTACATTCAAAGGAACTTTGCCAAAATTTTACATTCCTCAGTGTCAGTTGGTTCCTCTCAAAAGCTATGAAAAACAAGACATGTAGAGATCTGAAGAGTTTCACTTAATTTTTCATGATCTCAGAAGCATCCTCAAATAACAGTCTTACTTTACTTACTTTCTAATGAGTATGTTTTCTAATCAGTAAAATTCTGATGTTTCCTAATAATTCTATAAGCCCCAAATAATAAATCTCCATGTTCCATTATTCACGAACCTTGACCTATTGATTCTTTATTCATTATATACCATCATTTTAAATTGATTTTAAAAAGGTAAAACCAGTAAACAAAAGAATACGGAAGACCTTCACATTTTACCTCAGTATTTCAGCTAAAGACATACTATTATTTAGCCTAGTAAGATTATTACTCACTTACATAATTTACTAACCTTTTGATTTGAATTCAAACAAGTCAAGTAATACCTGTCAGTTTCAGCTATACAGGTTTTTCTTCTTTCTTTCTTTCTTTCTTTAGCATATTTAGAAACCTGGTAGCCTGTTCTCACTCTCTCTTTCTTTCTTCCCTCCTTTCTCTGAGTGGGATTACTTAATTTCTATACTTGTGACTCAACCATTTTACTCTTCTAAAACCATAATTAAGAAAGATTCCCCCCATGTATAATCAAACCCTGCTCCTGAAAAGACAAAGAATAAACTCTTATTTGGAGAAAATTTTTTAAGGAAAAAACATACTTCAAAGACAGATCAATTACATTAAATTAGCATTAGCACCTTTTTCTTCAAGAATTAAGTCATCAAGTTTCCCTAAAAATCAAGTCGGTTTAATATTCAAGTTACAAAAGTATCTTTCAAATTATATTTAGTAGCCTGTAAGAGTTAACCTTTTTTTAACAGCTAAACTTTTTATATTCTTCCGCAGCTTCTCTATCTTCACAGTTGGAGCTGAGGGTTTACACATAGATGACAAAAGTACCTTTGATGAAGAATTCCAAAAACTAACTGGAATGCAAATCCTATAGTAAAGCCATCTCACGGAGTGAACACAGTAGATCAAAAGTGAAGAGAACAAGTATGCTAAAAAGGAATCTTCTATGTGGACTATATGCCTTATTGAAGCATTCTTATGAATATTAAAACTTATCATTTTGAGTGCATATATTTCAAGCCTCATTCAGACCTTGCCCCACAAAATGTTCCACAAATAATAGTAACCAGAGTTGTCATCACACCCTGGAAAATTGCTTAGGAGCAAGATTCTTTTCAAATAGGGGAAAGCAGGAAAAAGGTACTTGACCAGTCTGCCTTTAAAAACAGTGCCACAAACCAAGTTTCACCATTCAAACCATTTAACTGTAACAGAAAGTCACTTTTTATTGCTTTTTATTTAAAATGTTCTACCTGATTTGGAACAAAAACTTTGCAATAAGGGTTTATAAGGCTCATTTCTTTTTTAAAAAACCATTTCATTTAAATGTTCATAATATAGTGGCACATGAAAAAAGCTACAAAACAATACACATAAAGGGATTCTATTTTTTCAAAAAAATGTATGTTACTATATATGCCTTAAGTTATCTTCCAGAAACAGGGCAATGCCTTTATGAAAGGTCCTTACATCTAGCAGGAATCTCTCTTGCTACTTCGACTTGAACAGAGCAGGGTAGCAACTATCCTAATGTAACCAAACAGCCTGGGGGCCATAGAGAATCATTTTATATTAGGCATATATGACATATATGTATGCTTTCTGTATATATGTATTATACATACCATGTCTATGCACAAAATGTGTATATATGCATGAAATATATAGTAATATATGTACATAGACAAAAATCTGGAAGGATATAAATCCAAAATGAACAGTGACTACCTCTGGACGATATGAGGTTTATAATTTAAATTTTCTATTTTGTTGTCTTTTCTAAGTTGTCTAGAATAAAAGCTAAAATTTTTATTTTTACATTCTACCGAACTTGTTTCAATAGCAGAACTCTTTCCTCACACAGTATACTTTCCAAGTTCCACGAAGGCAAAATAATTTGCAACTTTTTTGCCATTTTTCTAAAATTGTCAAGGAAGCTTAATGTGATAATTTCATATAATCAACTTTTAGAAACTGCAAATCAAATTCCTTAAAGATTTACCTTCATCGTACATTTCTTCTATTAAATAGGCCTCTGCTCGGTCTTTCAGAGCATTCACATTGTCAGGTTCTACCTGTAAAACTTCAGAACATATTCTAATAGCTTCAACGGGCTTCTCATCCTAAAAGTAAATGTGAAAAAATGATTTATGGTTGTTATTCCACATGTTAAGTTTTTACATTTCTAGGAACAAGTCAACCGTACCTTAGAAAAGCAGTGGCAAATCCTTTCTTTTGAACGAATTGTATACTCAGCAATGTTTGGCTCTGTTTTCATGACAGATTCATATTTGCTGGTCGCATCTGTGTATCTGTTAAATGAGGAAATCATGATAAGCAACAATGAAATCCTATTTCCAGATCTGTAGGAAGGGCAGTCTTCTTTCTCTTTACTACATGTTGCTTAACCAGTTCACCTGGATGAGCACATGCCTTCAAACGCTGCTTTTGCCTCATTAATCTAGAGTAGCACAGAAAGTATGCTCTATAATTAAGAATTAGGAAATAAAACACATGACCACAGGAGATGTACATGGACAAATCAAAGCATACCCGTGAGTAACAATCAAACCAAATGATGAATTTCTTTACAGAAAAAAGCTCATGATTTTAAAACTGAGTAAAATGCTTTGTTAAAGAATGACTTACACCGAGCACTTTCAATAATACAAATTTCTTGGTTACTACACACTTTCAGGAAAATAACAGAGCCCATTACGTGCCATTTTATATAATAAAGTCAACATATTCACAACTAAGTACCATGTAGTTCATGCAGAAGGAACCTACTTAAATTCCCCTCTTTATAAACTTTCTAAGAACAATAAAATCTATTTTAGCACTTTCTTTAAACTGGTGAAAAGTGCTAGTCATGTTATATACTAAGTTACTTTCCTCAGTAATGGCAAACTAAAAGATGTATTTATATGCCATTGTGGCACATTCTTCCTAAAGTGCTGCAATCTATACATGTAAATGTTGATGGATGAAATGTTTAAGTACAATATTTCAAACAAAAGCTAGCTTCTGGGAAAGTGGAGATGTACTTTTCGCAATTCTTCTAGCTAAGTAACACTAAAAACCCCAGACATGTTTTATATTCATGTGTGTGTGTGTGTGTGTGTGTGTGTATATATATATATTTTAATAGAAGACTTTAAAAGGGGGAGAGAAGAAGGCATACTAGCTAGTCACCTCAGGACCTGAGGAACAGAATGTTGGTAAGTTCCCTGGTTTTTTTTGTTTGTTTGTTTCATATATCCCAGACTTGGAGCTGAAGATTCCAGCAACACAGAAATGCCAACAGGTAAAGAACAACAATAACAAAAAACAGCAGAAGTCTGCTCTCCCTAGCCAAAGAACCTGGAAAGGGCGGCCTAACAAGGCAAAAAACTGACAGTAACAGCTCTACTCCAGCCAAACACTACAGAGAAAATTATGGCCCCATCCCCACCAGTGCTAGCAAAGGCCAAGAGAAGAACCTAGACTTCCTAAGGAGGTGGTAACAATGTTTCCATACACCCCTACCAAGGTAGTGTCAGAGAAGGCCAAGTTGGGAGCTGGACTTTCATCCGTGGTAGTTAATGAGTGCCCCACCCCATTCCTCCAGTGGTGTCAGTGGAGACTGTGTGAGGAACCAAAACTCTCAAATATACCAAGTGGTAGCAAGAAGCTCCCTGCCCCTGGAGTAGCAACAAAGGCAAAGAAGGAAAACTTCCACTTCCATCTATAGTAACAAGGTAGTGCCTACCCCCAACTTTGTTAGAAGAATGTCAGAAAAAGCCAGTCAAAACAGAAGGTTTAAATAAAAACTAGTCTTACAAAATGAAAATTCCAGATTTCAATTAAAAACCACTCATCAATTAGAGGTACTCAGGAGGCTAAGATGGGAGGATGCCTTGAGCCCAGGAGTTCAAGGACAGTTTGGACAACATAGCGAGACCCTATCTCTAAAAAAAAGTATTATTGTTTTATTTTTTATTTTTTTGAGACATGATCTTGCTCTGTTGTCCCAACTGGAGTACACTGCAGTCTTAACCTCATGGACTCAAGTGATCCTCTTACCTCAGCCTCCAGAGTAGCTGGGACTACAGGCACCCACCACCATACCTGGCTAAATTTTTTCTTGTTTGTAGAGTTAGGAGTCTTGCTATGTTGCCCAGGTTGGTCTCAAACTCCTGGCCTCAAGTGATTTTCCCACCTCAGCCTCCCAAAGTGCTGAGATTACAGGCATGAACCAACACACCCAGACAAAAT